TTGACAGATGTTAGAATTATTTCTTATACTTAATGTAAATATTTTGCATTTTCTATCCAATGATTCTAGGGCTACTCCCATAGAATTTTTTTAAGTTCTCCACAAAATATATACTGAAGTGCTCATGGATGAAATGATGTGACGTCTGAGATTGGCTTCACAAGAGTTGAGGAGGAAAGCAAAGGAATATAGACAAATTAAGATGGGCAGAGAATTGACAATGATGGTTTCTTGGTGGTCTCATTCTATTCTTTTGAATTTAACTATATTTAAATTTTTCCACAATAAAAACAATTTTAAGCTACTTCAATATCTTTCAGATACTTAGGGCCAGTTATCCTCTTGAAGGAATCGCGATCAAGGGTAAACATTTCCTGTTCCTCCAGGTTTTCTCCCCTGAGCACCTATGTGGCCGCCCCAGAGAGTGTTGCCATGGACCAGTGTTCCCTTTTAGGTTTCCTAGAACATACAACAATACTATGCAAATAGTTTATTTTTTATTTAAGCATTAGCTTGAATTACTTCTCATTTGTTTTTGTCTTTCATACACCAAGGTAATCGATGATAACTGTGAATGAATAAAACTAAGCGTTCGTTAGTGAACACTTTGGCTGCTAAAATCTGCAGGCCCATGTTTTTGTTTTAAAAATGGGTAGAAAAAGCATTATGCAAATTGGTATCTTTTAACTGAAACAATGGTTTACAATATTTTTTTAGTTTTTCTCATCTAAAAAAAGCAAATGGAAAAGAAAAAAAATTTCTGTAGTGATATTATAGAACACCGTGTCTATATGGCACATTTTAAACTATTCATCTAAATTCTTATTTTAAAATCATATAACCAGAATTTATTTTAGGTATTGTTTCTATTTTCCTCCTTTTTTTAAATTCCCCAATAAGATATGAGGAGACAAAATATAGAACTGTGAAACGTGCATTTATTTTTGTCGTCTTATGAAATTGTAAGGCCCTTGAAGATAGTTGTTTTATTGCCATAATTTTAAATAAACTGCCAAAACCTCCTCCACACCAGCCAAAATATGTCTTTTACCTTTTATGAAAGTACCGAATATTCTTCTTTGTTCTTAAAGAATTGCTTGCCTTTGTGTCTTACTGTGATTTTATGGAAGCATGCAGGTCTGGACCCGTAGACCCTGGTTCTCGTTCAGTTTCTGATGGGCTGTGTTCTGACCACTGTGTGACCCTGAGTGGGCAAGCTGGTTCCTTAGTCTCTCATCTAAAAGGGCAAACCTAGAAATGTACCTCCACACATGTGTTACTGCCATTTGTGGAGGAAACTTGTTCAAGGGACCTGTCCCTCCCAGCATGGGTTGTCTGGCATTCTTGGTGTCCCATAATGCCAGTAGCTCTTTTCAGGCACCATAACAAGGGAAACTTGCTCCATCCACTTCTAAGTGCCTCTTTGGAAAGGCAGTGCCCACTTGCATACTGCAAGTTTCCATGTGCTCAGAAGCGCTGTGATTCTGCTACTCTAACGAACGATTGCTAGGTGAGATTAGGTGCTAAAAGCAAGATGAGTAGAGACAGATGCAAAGAGAAGACACAAGTCCCCAAAGGAGGTGATACAGAGACAAATACAAGCTTCCTGAAGGCATTTATCTGTACCTCCTTGCATTTCTCTGTATCTTTTCCCATCCTTTCAGGAGTAGAAACTACCTTGCCTTAGTCAGCTGGTGCTGTCATAACAAGGTACCATAGACAGGTGAGCTTAAACAACAAAAGCTTATTTATAGTTTTGGAGGCTTAATAGTCAAGGTCAAGGTGCTGACAGATTCCATGTCTGGTGAGGGCTCACTTCCTAGTTCACACATGGTTCACGTGGTTGTTCTCACATTGGGAAAAGGCTCAGAAGGGTTCTCTTTTTAAGGGCACTAACTCTATTTGTGAGGGCTCTGCTTCCTGGACCTGATAACTTCCTAAAGGCCACTTGTCATAACATCACAATAGGAGGTAAGATTTAATCTATGAATTTGGTGAGACACAAATATTCAGTCTACTGCATATCCTTGGGCTATGCCTAAGTTTTTGGGTTGGTTTTTTGTTTGTTTGGTTTGGGTTTTTTTGTTACTGGAGATTGAACACAGAGTCTTCATATTGAACCAAATCTCTATCCCTTTTTTATTTTTTTGAAACAGTCTTGCTAAATTGCCAAATTTTCCAGACTGGGCTCAAATTTATGATTCTCCTGCCTCAGCCTCTCCGAGTACTGGGATGATAGGCATGTGCCACCATGCTCAGTTTATCCTTAATTCTGTTTTGTTTTTTGAGATAAGGACTTCCTACATAGTTCAGCCAGGTCTTGGACTTACTATGTAGCTCAGGCTGGTCTCAAACTCATGGCAATCTTCCTGCCTCAGTGATGGGAGTGCCGGGCTTGCATTATGCATCACCACACTCAGCCATCTCTAATTTTTAACTTACAGAAGAACGATCTAATGAACCAATACAAGTTAGTGAATCAACAATTTATCAGTCACCTCTCCTAGTTACATATCATTGAAAAGGGACACCCAAAGAGAATAATGCTTAATCTGATAAGATTTGCACAAAATGGAAATTTAAATACACAACAGTACACAGGAGGAAGTATTTAGGGTGGGAGCCCTCTCAAGTCATACTGCCAGATAAAGGGAATCCCATCTCTGAATTAATACACTATCTCTCTTCTTGTCTCTTGCAGATGCAAAATTGCCCCCATTCAATAATCCAATCATGTTGTATTGATTGTTTATTGTTTATTAGTTTTGCTATTCTAACAAACTCTGTGTGTCCTGTCATTCTACAGGTCTGTAGATGGCACAACATTTACTAGCTCTATTAAGGAGAAAACTGTGGGCCGAGCTCTGTATTCACAGGCAAGAGCAAAAGGCAAGACGGCTGGATTGGTGAGGTAAGGGTGGGCCAAGCAGGGCTTGTCATGTCATCTCCATTGTTTCTTCCTCTCCTGTCTCATTCCCCCAGTGCAAACCCAACTCCAGAAAGGCACTGAACCTGCACCAATGGTGCCATAAGTGTAGAATTAAGCATTCAATGTCTACTCTCCTCTCTGGTGGAAGGCCTCTCTTCCACCAGTGAGTCTGGGCAATTTCACATGAGTTTGCACTTATATTTCTTGTCTTTTAGATAGAAGAATGTTCAGTAAGTAAATGCTGAGTTTTTTCTAAAGAATGCAAAGAACTACAGAAATCCTTTCTTAGTAACCTTGTTGCAAAATTTATCAAACATATGGAAGAAAATGATCGGACTTTATTTTAATGATTTCTTCTCCCTAATTTTTTTGGGAGAGCACATGTGTAGGCATCAATTACTGAGCTTAGAGTCTAGGGATTTTTTTTCCCTTTATAATTCTGCATAAGACACTGAAAATGCCCAAGTCACCTCAAAAAAGCAGCCTTTTTAAGCAAGAAATTTCAAAGAAATCTCTGAAATTACCATTCCTTACACTGCACATCATTTCTTCTCAATTTTGCCATGTATGTTTCTTCTATATCTCCAAACTTATCTCTAGTTGAAGTTCTTTTCATCTCAGTGGTATATTTCACTCATTCAGCAAAAGTGCGTCAAATGTTAATGCTGTCCCCAGTTCTGTAGGAGGCAACACACACACAAAAACAGTCTCAGACTTGTGGGGCACACAGGCAAGGAAATGGCAAAAGTTACATGGATAGTGGGCAAGAGCTAATGCAGCATGAGTGCTGAGTGTGCAGTTCTGTAGCAGAGTCAGGAAAATCTACAGAAGAACCAATGTTCCAGCCGCGCCCAGGTAGATCTGTGGAATTCAGCCAGGCGGGGAAAGGAAAGAAGAAATTCCAAACAGAGAGAACACTTCTAGCATTGCTTCACATTGCTTAGTTATGTTAGCTGCAGGAATCATTTTGCCGTATTTACCCATCATTTGGAAAAGTCCATCCATCCATTTATTCATTCCACAAATATTTCTTGTAACACAAACTCTTCTGGGCACTGACGATTTAGCGAGGAACATAAGCACTGCCCAACCTTCTTCTCAGGTGCACAGGGCCTCTCCTCAAAACCTGCACCAGGCCACATTCAGCTTTTTCTTCAGCTACCAGTGTTCCAAGTTGACTGCCCATATCACGGTACTTCCCTTACCCCGATAGGCTGATTATATACTTGTTTACTTACTTCATTTTAAAGAATCATTTATGGATAATTATAACAATTCACTGGATAATCATGCTGCTTTCTCTGCAAAACCATAAACACCTCAAGATCATCATTTACATCAGACACTGCATGTACAATGACAAAATAAGGCCTCGTGTTGGAAATACACATCGAACTCAACAGAATAGTAGAATCCTTCTTCCTGGAGACCTCCAGAAATATTAAGAACTGTTCAAGTCTCAAAATGCAATGTAGGAAACAAATGCTGTCTTCAGAGACATCAATATTTAGATTCAACTTTTGGTGCTACAATTGACTAAACTGTGGCCTTGAGCAGGTTACTTATCTTCTCTGAGCCTCCTTTGTAATTATTTGAAAAATGAGGGTGATGATTTGCACCCTGCAGAACTGCTGTCTCAGATATAATACATGCCATGTTCCTGCTGACTGTAGGGACCAGTCAATGGCAGATCTTTGTAGATGACACTCATTGGCAAGAAGCTTGGAATCAACAGATAAGGGAGGAGAAGAGATTGAAATTCTCGGCAGGATTAAATTTATCTAAAAATTGAATTTCTAGGTCTATTGTGCCTATTTTATAAACAACTGAGCAGGTTTGATCGCCCAGCATAAAGAACAGCTGCCCTCTCTCTAGCCAGTTGGTCTTGTAGCTCTGTCCTGTGTGATGACTTACGTTGGGGGTTCCCACACTCAGGAGCAAAGCCCTCGACATGGAGAACTTCAGGACTGAAGTAAACATCCGTCCCAGAGCAAAGGTGCAGTTCGAGCTCCACTACCAGGAAGTGAAGTGGAGGAAGCTGGGGTCATATGAGCACAGGCTTCACCTGCAGCCGGGAAGGCTGGCCAAGCACTTGGAGGTGAGCCTGGGTGTGCAGGATGTGCAGCCACGAAGTCTCTTTTGGTTTCTATCCCTGATTCATACTTTCTGTTTGTCACCCTTCTTTGTGGGGCTCAATACATTCAAGCCTGCAAAATAAGATGGTACAGTGAGAACTTTCAGGTGTGGAGTCAACCATACCAATTCTTTCTGATTTCAACACCAGCTCAGCTCTGTAGTAGCTGCATGAGTTTTCTGGAGCTGGTTGTACCAACTACCCACAAACTGTTTTATTATCTTACAATCCTGAAAGACAGCAGCCTGAAATCAAGGTGTCAGCTGAGCTATATTTCCTCAGGAGGCTTGGTTGGAGGCTGTGTTCCTTGGTTTTCTTGGGATTCCATAGTTTCTGGCATTCTTGGACTTGGGCTCTTTTTGACCAGGCTGCCCCAAACTCTTTCCCTACAGCCATTTTGTTTATAAACTTTTAATGCTTTTCCCCTTTTCCAGGTGGACGTGTGGATAGTTGAACCTCAGGGAATGAGATTTCTTCATGTTCCTGATACATTTGATGGTCATTTTGAGGGTGTTCCTGTGATATCTAAAGGACCCCAGAAGGTATCATAAACACTGCATATTTCCAGCCATCCAAGCAGCCACAAGCTCCTATGCTCTGGAGAGTAAAAACATGGTCTAGTGTAGGCACTGTGACAGGCACTATGAAAAGGACCAATGATCCCCAGGAAGACTCTAGGACCTTTTATCAAAGATATAAAAGAATGCTCCCCATTGTTTCATTTCATTTTGACCAATCACTGTACCTTTTGTAACCTTGTTTCTCCCTACTCCTCTACTTGACAGTAGCTAAAGACAACTGTCACATAATACATGATGCATTCCCATGAATCACAGCAAGAATTATTCAGCTGATTTTTTTCTGCCTTAATGGTCAATAAGACACTGTATATAAGTCAAACTCATCTGGGAACCCTTCACAAACTCTTTCCAGAGCTGGTAGCCATCCCTTCCTTGAGGCAGACGGGAGATTCTTTGAAACACGTTTTGAAAGGCATAAAGTAAAGTACAGTAGTTACTCCCTTCTGAGCCTGGCTCTGCCCCTTTCACCAGTAACAGGTTTAGTGATACTGACAGAGGGCACAGAGGCCCCTGGGCACCTCTGTGCATAAGCAGGTGCAGGCACCAAGCCCTGCCCTGGCAGCCTCTGGTGTAAAGCACAGATTCTAATGTTCTTGTTACTTCCAGGCTCATGTCTCCTTCCGGCCCACAGTAGCACAGCAAAGAAAATGTTCCAATTGCTCTGAGACTGCAGTGGATGGAGAGCTGGTGGTGATGTACGACGTGAACAGAGAAGAGAAGGCTGGTGAGCTTGAGGTGAGTGTAGACCATCTCTGGGAGAACTGCCAAGCCAAATCCAAGGAAACTTTGTTGAAGAGTCTTCCCCATCTATGAGTAGTTTATAGCCACCAAGGCAAGTATCAAAGGTACAGAGCAGGGACTAAAACCCTATTACTTTAATATGCCACTAAGAATTATGTTTTGTGTTATAAAATCTAAATAAAGGTTCATTGGGTCTTGTGTTAGTCACTGTAACAAAATATCTGAGATAATTAACTTGCAAAGAGACAAGGTTTGTTTGATGAGCAGTTCATGAACAGGAGAGTCCATTGCTTTTAGGCCTCTGGTTGAAAGACTAGATGGTTATAGCAAGAAGCACATAAAAGAACGAACTGATCACCTCAGGGGAAGGGAACAAAGGACAGGAATAGGGAGAGATTAGGCACTCACCATCTCCCTCAAGGGTGCACTCCCAGTGACCTAAGAACCTCCAATAAGCCCCACCTATTTAAGGTCCACAGCACCTCCCAATAGCACCACACTGAAGAACAAGGTTTAACACACAGGTCTTTGGGGGACATACTCAAGTTCAAGCCTAGCAGGTCTTCTGGTCTTGTCCCAGAAGGGCACATCCTATGAAGAACTACAGAAATTATAGACTGGGCTTTCTGGAGAACTTTTTAAGGTCCTTCGTAATTAGATGGTCAAACAAAAATAGAGACGACGGGGTGAGCACAACCAAAGCCTTTCAGATTTTCCTTTCTGCCTTTGCCATATCTAAGGTATATCTCCACTTCCCTTATGCTAAGGTGAGAACCCCTAGAATATATCAAAAAACTTGTGAGACCCTCCAGGGGCTGAGGATAAAGAAGTATATTGGAGACCACAGCCACATACCCAGCATCTGAGGACTCCATGGGATAGAAAGAACCCAAGGGTGGGGGAAAGAAAATTAGGCAGCCAGTCTAAGATGGATGAGCAAGAATCTCACTGAATGGCCTCCCTCTAACTTTGAGAAAAATCCAAAATCCCCAAAGTGACACAGGAAGGTCTTTTGTGAACTGTCTTAATTTCCACCAAATGTCTTGAATTCTTGAATTCTATGATAACCACCTTGCTGATCCACTTAGCCTCAAGTGTGCCGTGTTCTTTCATCTTGTTCTGGAATTCTCCTCCCTAATCCTCCACCCCACCCCACCTCAGCTCCCAAGATGGCAGGCTAAGCGAGGGACAGCTTTAGGTCTCAATTTAGCTCTGTGTCTTTGGGGAAGATGCCCCCATCTGAGTCAGATCCTCTTCCACTGGACTGTCTCCGAGTCCTTTACCTTCCTAATCACGGTATTTGACACCTGTGCTTCAAATACCATGGCTTGTCTGTGTCCCCCACTGGCTGCCAGTCCCATAAGAGCAGGGACTCAGCCTGCTTCACCCTTGGTTACCAGGGCAGAAACAGAGACTTGAGATAAAGACCACATGAAGCAGAATGGCCTGGAATGGGGTGGAAACTTTGCTGAGAAGGCTTAGAAACAGAGACTTGAGGGCAGAAACAGAGACTTGAGATAAAGACCACATGAAGCGGAATGGCCTGGAATGGGGTGGAAACTTTGCTGAGAAGGCTTAGAACCTCACAGCAGAGGAAGAAAGTACAACAGCACAAAGGAGAGGTGGACCTGAGCCTCGCTTCTGTCTCTCTTCTCATCTACGTGTCCTGCCTCCTTTGCTCATCACCAGCTTCTCCTCTTGTTTTCACCAGGTCCCCACTGCCTACCTTCCAGACATTGGTCATTGATTGACTCACATATATGTATATTCTATTTTCAGGTATTCAATGGATACTTTGTCCACTTCTTTGCTCCTGAGAACCTGGACCCCATTCCTAAAAACATCCTTTTTGTCATTGACGTTAGTGGCTCCATGTGGGGAATTAAAATGAAACAAGTAAGTAAGTGCTACCTTATGGGGAGTGGTAAATGGGACTTTCCTTTGATCCTCTCTTAGTGTAGTAACCCATCGCCATTGTCCTTAGGATAAAACTCAGCAACTGTATCTATTGGTTGAGGGTGCAAACCCTTCCAAAGCCTTGAGGTTATCATTTGCTCTCTGGATACATGCCTCAATTAGCCTTTCCTTGTAAATTTTCCTTCTTTCCCATCTTCCTGTTTCCTGGTTCCTCTTCCCTCTCTTTTCTATTCTGTGTGCAATATTTTCCTGAAAAGTCACTTCCCATCTCACCTTTTTGAAGTCATCTCTGTACCACCTCTTCTCACTCTGCTCACTTTTCCAGTTCTTCTGCATAATCCTTTACTTTAATATCATCTCATTACTCATAAGTAACTTTTAAATATTCTCGTCCCATGTCTTCTAATTTAGAGTTCAGTGTAAGTTTACTCAGTGAACTAAGCAAGTTTAAAGAATAAGAAAATAGCCAGCATGGTGGCACACACCTGTAATCCCAACACACAGGAGGCTGAGACACAAGAATTGAGAGTTCAAGGCTAGCCTGAGCTACATAGCAAGACCATATCTCAACAGTTGTTTATTTACCCTTTTTTCCTTCCTCCCTTCCTTCCTTCTTTCCTTCCTTCTTTCCCTCATCCATTCAACAAGTATGTGTGAAGCACCTATTATGCATTAGGTACCTAGCTCATCAGTGAGCAGAACAGACCAAAAGAATAAAAATAAAAAACAAGAACCAAACAAAACTCCCCCGCCCTTAGCCAGATGATTCAGTTATGAAGTTCTGCAGCAGCCTGGGGTGACAATAGTTCAAAATAACCTGTTACATATGTTATAATGAATTAGAATAGAGGAGCTCGAAGGCTCCAAATACAGAGAAATGATAAGGAGGTTGAAAACCTAATTCCCTTGGCCAATATAGGCTGTATGCAAGTATCAAAATATCAAATTATTGTTACTGAATTTTTTTTAAAAAAATGTAAAACCTCTCAGTGCACTATGTGTGTACCATTGTTGCCCCCTGAAGAAAAAATAATGTAAAACCTTATCCCTGCCCTCAGAGAGTTTACATTCCAGGAGGAAAAGGAACATAGAATAAACAATACAAATAATTAAATTTTAAAGAGCATTCAACCGTGGATCATTTTTTAAAAGAGAAATATATTAGGAACCAACTGTACCAATTTCAGGCAGATGCAATGTTAAGTTTGTAAATCAGCTGGGCATGGTGATGCATGCCTGTAATCCCAGCACTCTGGGAGGCTGAGGCCAAAGGATTACGGGTTTGAGCCCAGCCCAGACAATTTAACACCTTAGTGAGACCCTGCCTCAAAATTAAAAAAAAAAAAAAAAGTAAAAGATGTATCTCAGTGTGAAGGGTCTGGGTTCATTTTCCAGTACTTAAAACAATAGATTTGTAAATTAAATAGATGGCTTCATTGATAATTCTTTGAAGAAACCTTTTGAAGGCATAAAGAGCCGTGCAGGCATCCGGAAGGTGAATGTAGGTGGCAGGAATGGCCAGTGTGATGATGCTAAGCCAGAAATGTGTCAGGCAGGGGCAAAGAACAGAGAGCAGGCCCGGTCAACAGTGGTGGGAGCTGAGACCTGAGAAGTGAAGGGAGGGCAGGTATCTTAGTTATTTTTGCTGAGACACAATACCTAACATCCAAAGTTAAAGGAAGAAAAGTTTACTTATCTCAGAGTTTGTAGAGGCTTCATTCCATAATTGGCCTAGCTCCAAGCCTGGGTGGCTTGGCAGACAAGCATCACAGTGGAGAAACAGTTCATGGCAGGCAGAAGGTAGCAAAACAACTAGGAAGGGACCTTGATAGCATTTTTATGCCCCTTTTCTCTTATCCAGACTACTTAACTCAGGCAGCACTCACATCCTTAATCCTAGTGCCCTCGGGCCTAGCACAGCATCATGAATCAACCACACATCTAGATCCAGCTACCTCTGAAAAATCCACACCTATGACCACATGAGGCTTTTGCAGGACATCTAGATACAAGTTGTAACAGCAGGTTATGTAAAACCTGCAGGTCACAATCAGAACTTTGGCCTTTACAGTACTTAGAGATAGACAGAAAGCTACTGAAGAGAAAGTTTGAATGAAGGAGTGTCATGATCTGATGTGTGCTCTGGTTGTGATGTTGAAAACAGATTGGTACAGAGGGTAGGGGCAGGGAGGCCAGACAAGAGGCCATGGTAGTAATCCAAGAAAGACAGTATATAGTATCTTAGGCCAGGATGGTGGTGGTGGATATGGTGAGAAGTTACTGGAAATGTTTTGAACATAAAGTAAATACTGTTTCCTGGAGGGTTAACAGTTAGGGAGGAGAAGAAAAAAGGTGGAAAAGTAGTCTTAGGTTTTAGCCTGAGCAATTAGAAGAAAGGATGGAGTTTGCATCAGTAATTGGAAAAGTCATGGGCAGAATCAAACATTGTAGGGGAATAGAGGATTTATTTGGATCATATTAAGACTGAGATTTAAGACTTAAATGTCCAAGTAGATGTGTCAAGGAGGATGTTGTCTGTGCAATGCTGGTGTGAAAGGTGAGACACAGAGATAAACAATTGGAAGTAACCAGTGTGTAGAAGTTATTTCCAGTACTGAGATTAATGGGACAGTCAAAGCATTGATAGAGAAGATGATGAACAATAGAGCATTCCAGCCTCAAGACCTGGAAGAGAGACGAGCCACCAATGGTCATTAACAAAAAGTAACTAGTGAGAGTGGAGAAAAATCCTCCAAGACAAAATGAGGAAGTTGTACGAAGGAGAGGAAATAGCTGTTTCAAATGCTGGTGACAGCCCAAGTCTGATGAGGAATTGGGTTTAGCACATCAAAGTCACTGATGTTAACGTTGACAAGGGAAGTTTCAGTGGAATGATGAGAATGAGCATCTGAATGGAGTGGGTTTAACAGAAAAGGTTTGACACCCATGTAGTTAGGCAATTCATCCAAGGAATGTATTAAAAAAGAAGCTGAAAATGTGGGTGCAAATGAGATTTTTAAAGGAATAAGAAAGTTTAGCATGTTTTATGTTTATAGAAATATATTATCAGAGGAGGAGGATTAAGAGGCAAAGGACGATTGCTAGAGTCATGATTTTCAACAGATGAAAAGTAATGAAATTTAGCTTGTATTAGATGAATTTGCAATAGGTAGAAATACTGCTGGTTGCTCTGCACTGCATTGCAGGAGGGAAATTTGTGTGGGGACACATATTGCTAGCTGAAGTTTTATGGTAGTGGGGGTTTATGGAAATTTTCTTCTGATTGCTTCAGGTTTTTTGGTGGAACAGGTATTAAAGCTATCAACTGAGAGAGGAAGAAGTAAACTGGCTAAGAAGAAAGCTGTGAAACAGTAGTTTGAGTTTCTCAGGTATTTGACTTTCAAGCATTCAACACAGCTGACATTTGTGATCCTTAAAATAGGACTAGTCAAATTGGTTTTGCATTTTTAAAAAGAGTAAAAATTTAAGTACAAAAAAGTCAACAATGTGTGTTCAAAATGTACCAAGGATAGGCCTACATTAACCAAGATGGATTGAAGCAGGTTTTTTAGATGTTCAGCTTAAGTCAGAAAGATGAATAAGATCAATGTGTCTCTCCTTGTTTCTTCTTACACTTACATTTTGGGTAATGAGACCTTTTTAAAATCTCTTTTGTAATAGACTGTAGAAGCAATGAAGACCATATTGGAAGACCTAAGAGCAGAAGACCAGTTCTCCGTGGTTGACTTCAATCACAATGTTCGAACCTGGAGAAATGATTTAGTTTCTGCTACTAAAACACAGATTACAGATGCCAAGAGATACATAGAGAAAATCCAGCCCAGTGGAGGTGAGTGGATTTGGCCTAAGTGAGTTTGGACTTGTAGTTCAAATTTTGGCTTAAGAATCACTGCTGCCCATCACAGTGATCTCTGGCCAGTCTGCAATGGTCTACCCTAAAAAACATATTTAATTATGTTAATTTTTTATTATTGCTGAGACAAATACCTGACATCCAAAATTAAGGAAAGAAAGATTTATTTAGCTCACAGTTGGTTCATGGAGGTTTCAGTCCATAATCATTTGGCTCCAAGTCAGCATGGCATGACTCAGGGGCAACATGGTAGCCTCAGAAGACACTAGAAGCAGCAGAGCAAAAGGGCAAAAGGCAAAAAAGGAAAAATCATGCCTCCTTATATTGTAGGTTGGCTATTTGCCAATGGGTAGGTACAGCATTCACATCACCAATCCTAGGGCTAGATAATGAACCAATCACAAACTTTAGACTCAGCTGCCTTTGAAAGGCCTGCTTCTCATGACCACATGAGGCTTTGGGGGGACATCTAGACACAAGGCATAATATTTCACCCCTGACCACCCAAAGACTTATGCACTTTATGGGAAAGGCATTTAGTCCATCTCCAAGAGTTGCCAAAGTCTTAACAGTTTCAACACTGCTGAAAATTCCAAGTCCCAAGTCTCCTGCAAGATCTAAGGCAAACTCCTAGCTGCAACCTCCTAAATAAATGAAAACATAGTTAAATACTTCCAATATTCAGTGGCACAAGATAAACATTATCATCCCAAAAGGTACAAACGGGAGGATACAAAGGAATGGGACCAAAGGAAGTCCAAAATCCAGCAGGGCAAATATTAAATCCTATAATTCCATGTGCATTATTTCAGGTAATTGGTAGCAAATTATGATGAGCTCCAAAGGGCTTTGGTGACTCCACTCCTATGGCACTTCTGGTGGTTGTAGCTCCCATAGCTCCTCTCTTTAAGCCACCTTGCTCTTTCCTTGCAGCATTCTTTAGATGATTCACATTCCTGGCTTTTCCAAATTTCTGGGGTCTCCACTGCACCTTTGATTTTACACTCACAGCACCCCATATTGGCCACTCAGGGTCACACTGCCTGACCTACCAGGCCTTTCAAAATTGGGGTGAAAGGCTTTTTAAACCTCAGAACTCTTGCATTCTGTATACACTTAAAAATGGTTCCATGTGGATGATGCTAAGGTCTGCTGACAGAGCAGTAACTAGGCTTTGCTCTCTCTTGACTTTTGGGAGTCAAGTACCTGGATTACTGAGCACTCTGAACCTGATTGTGAGGAACATATTCTCTCTGCTGCCACCATTCTGGAACCTGATGTAGTTGCCACCATTCTGGAACCTCATGTGGTTTCTGCCACCATTCTGGAACCTTTTTGTGACTGCTGCCACCATTCTGGAACATAGATCTCTGTGGCTTCCTCCTCAAAGCAGAGTCACTTTTACAGTTTTGAGGCTTCAAAGGGTGGAGACATGACACTTATTGTGAAACCCCCAGGCCATCTTTTTTATTCTTCTGTTCCTTCTCAGCAATCAAGATATCTCATCTCTGTCTTTATAGTCCATAGCTTTACTAGAGCTTCCTTTCTGGCCAAAATCACAGTGTTTTAAATCATCCTGTTGGATTCTTTCTCTTGATTTGCAACATAGACCTGACTAAAAGGACCCAACAATAGCCATGCCACTGCCTTAACATTCTACTGCCTTGCAATTTCTTTTGATGGATAAATTAATCTGCCACCCTCAGACTCAGGCAAAATTTCTGTACATGAGCAAAATGCAGACAAACTTTCTACCAAGCCATAACACACATTGTGTGGGGTCCAACATCAATGAGGTCCTTCTTCCCATCAGAAACCTCCTGAGCTTGGTCTTTACTGGTTTTCTGGTCTTCTGAGCTCTAGCCTGAATCTCCCATATAGAACATCTTAAGGCATTCCAGCTCTGTGCTTTCAGGTGACATCTCTGAAACTTTCCAAACTCTTCCCACAAGCCATTTCCAAAATAGCAGCAATGACTCCACTTCACTGGTACTGAATTTTGTCTAGGTTAGTTTTCTCTTGTTGCTGAGACAAAATACTTGGTGCCCAAAATGAAGGAAGGAAAGATTTAGTTAGCTTACAGTTTGTGGAGGTCTCAGTCCTTACTCACCTGGCTCAAAGGCAGGGTGGTGTGGCTAACGGGCAATTGGACACGGTGGCTGTAAGCAAAAAAAGTGAAAGAGAAAAATGGAAAAAAGCATGGCTCCTTCCCTCCCTTATATTGTATGGAGGCTACCCACTCCTGACAGATGCAACACTCACACCACCAATCCCAGAAGTAGACAACAAACCAATCACAAATGCTAGACTCAGCTGCCTTCAAAAGGTCTGCCCCTAATGAGGTTTTGGGGGGGCATCCAGACACAAACCACAACAATGACGAACACCATTTGTGGTAAAAGTAAACTGTATAATCCCACCCATACAAGTTTTTAACCATTCCTATCTTTTATGGAAGAAGGTTCAGTAAGTGACACACTAACCTTTTCATTTTCACTTGCATAGCCTGAAATGTAACTGTCTTCAGATTATGTCAGTAAAGCTGATTTAGATATATACTGGATGTTTTACAAAATGACAAAAGGGTGACTTTAAGGTCTTCTTCATTTCCAAGGAGATAATTTAAATAATGTACTGCACTGGAGGATCTTGACCAGGCAGGGCAAAATGTTCTTAGAAAGCAATCAAATTACTATTTGTCACTGGGAATCAAGCTCAAGACCTTACTGTGCCAAACAGGTGCTGTGCTGCTAAGTTATATCCCTGGCCTTCAAGTGACTTTAATATTGAGTAAATTATGCATAGTAATCAACAGACAGACTAGCTGGAATTCAAGATGTGACTGTGTGTGTGTGAAGAGAATTTGCAATGACACATTACATTACTTTCACAGGCACAAATATCAATGAAGCACTCCTGCGGGCCATCTTTATTTTGAATGAAGCCAATAATTTAGGAGTGTTGGACCCCAACTCAGTTTCTCTGATCATTCTGGTATCTGATGGAGATCCAACAGTAGGCAAGTACCACTTCAATTTTTCCAAGACAAATTTTTCCTTTTGTTTTTCTTAGGAATGTGGTTTGCTTAAAAGGAATATTCTAATGACATTTGCTCGAGTTTCTAAAATATTTAGGTCTCTGCATCCTCATAAGTCTTCTGGCCTGAAAGAACTTATCCCAAATACTAGTCAGTTTCCCATTGCTCAGAAAAACACATGACATATACCTTTAAGAGAGGAAAGTTTTATTTTGACTTGCAGTTTCAGAGGTTTCAATCCATCATGGGCTGGCTCCAAGGTAGAAATGGCATCGGAAGAGTGTGGTGGAAAAGAACTGCTCACTGCATAACAGCTATGAAACAGAGAAAGGAGGAAGCAGCCAGGAAACAGATACAGTCTCAAGGCCATGTCCCTATGATCTACTCTCTTCTACTGGGTCCCATCTCTGTCACCTTTAAACAGTTCCATTAGGTTATTATTCTATGTACAGGGGCCCAGAAAAGTGCATTAATGGGAAAGCGAATGAAACTGGAAAATTACTGAAGACTGTGAAAAAAATTATGATCCTATCAATGAATTAATGAAGCAAGACCTTCATGATCCAATCACCTTCCAAAAGCCCACATGAGACTTCTGGGGGACATTTCAGATCTAAACTATAATACACCCTAAGCTAGTCCCCTTCAGTTGTGCTCTTGAGTGCCTCACTTTGCTCTCCATATGAGGAGAAAGCTGAGTTTGACTTAAAATTGTCTGGTGTTAGAATTTGCTGATGTATTCGCAAAATGTATCTATTCCCTCAACTTTAGGTATGGAAAGATGTGAGCTGCAAATGATGAATACACACCCCAGCTCTCACATAGCATCTCGTGGGGCTACAGTAACATATCCTCGGGGTCTGCTTTTCTGCTTGTTTAAACTGGAGAAATCACTGCTTTCTGATATATCCTTTAAGTTAATCATTTTTCTTATTCACAAAAAATAGTTTCCACCTTTTAGCATCCCCTGACTTTTAGTATCTACATTTATTTATATTTATTGTATTGGTGTCTCTACAGTGACAAATGTAAGTAATAGTGGATACTAGATGGGATTGCACAGGTTTGTCACGTGGATGTGTCTAACCTGTGCCTGACCTGCCTAAGTGGAAGGAGAACTAGTGAGGTGATAATAACGATCACAAGAGTTTCCTGAAAGACCCAGAGCAACCCTTTTATGAATAGAAAGACTAATATGATCAGGTTTTATTTGTGTATTTGTAGTAGATCCAACACTTTTCCCTTTTAGATCAAATAAATTAAAATTCACTTCTGAATAAAGTCATGAGGAAGAAAAGGAAATATGATTTGAAAAAATGGAATGCCCTTTCCTCCTGTCCCTTAACTATTCAGTCCCTGTCTATGCCAGTCACCCAGAGCCAATTTCCAGGGAGAGTTCATGTACACTTATATTACTCTGTGTTTCCCTCAGTATGTGGACATGCAAGGTGTGATCCCAAACAAATGTGTCTTTTATTACAGCGAAAGATACATTGCCGCTAATCCCTCCCAAAATAGTCCCCCTTGCTCCAAATACAGTCATTCCATCATTCTTGCTACTTTCTGGAGTAGTCCTGGAAGTCTTCTTCCATGAGTGTCTTGAGTTGTGCTGTCATTGCTGCCTCAGTGTCTTGAATCAATTCAAAACATTACCTTTCATGGTCATTTTGACTTTGAGGAAGAGTCAGAAGTCACACGGTGCCAGACCCAGTGAATGAGGTGAATATGGACACAGCGTAGGGGTTTTTGAGCCTGTCTTCCCATCAGACAGTGCTCCGCAGCAGCATGTATCAAACATTATAAAGACACTAATGAAAAGGACTCCTAGAATAGCTTCACAAAGTGGCAAGAATGGTGAAATAAGTGTGTTTGAAGTGGGGGAAATATTTGATTAATGGCAGTGTATCTTTTACTGTAGTAATATTTTTAAAAATGCAAACATCCTGTAATTTGTGTTTACCTGAATTACTCTATATACACATTGTATATATACAAATGTATATACATGTGCATTTATTCATATGTATATATATATGCAGATACCTCCTGAACACACCCACTCATCTTGATTTTTTTCCCATTGAAAAAATATGTCTTTCACCTATAATTCCAGCTATTCAAGCTCAAGGCTAGCTTGGGCAACATACCAAGACACCATTTCAAAAAAGAAAAAAGCGTTTTTTGTTGGAGATTTCCCCAAGCAATATAATGAGATCCCGTTTTTTTTAAAAAGAAAAATGAGCCAGGGGTTTAGCTCAGCAGGCATAAGTTCCTGCTTGGCAAATGCAAGGACATGAGTTTGATTCCCAGCACCAAAAAGAAAAAGAAAAACGAAAAAGAAAAAAAATTCATTTATTCAATATAAACATGTAGAGTTATTGAGTCTACTGGGTCCTTCTTAGTAACTGCATAATATTTCATTGTCTAAATTAATTTAACTAATCTCATGTATTGGTGTACCTTTATTTCCATTATGTTGCTATGCTTAAATAATGTTGCCAGAAACCCTTCCTCATATTCCACTTCCACATGCATGAGTGTTTTGTAAGAAAAATTCCTAGAAGTTGTGTTACTGAATCAAAGAACAAGTACATATTTTTTCTGATACCAGGGATCAAACTTGTGACCTCACGCTTGCCAGGCAGGCACTTATGCCTCTGAGCTAAATCCCCAGCCCTTTAAATACATTTCTAATTTGAATAATTTTTGCTAAGTGATTCTCTCTGGACTTTCTAAACCTTCTCATCAATAATTCTTCATTTCTTTCCTTTCTGTCTTCTTCAACCTCAGGTGAATTAAAATTATCAAAAATTCAGAAAAATGTGAAGCAGAATATACCAGACAATGTCTCCTTGTTTAGTTTGGGGATAGGATTTGATGTTGACTATGATTTTCTGAAGAGACTATCTAATGATAACCGTGGAATTGCTCAAAGGATTTATGGAAACCAAGATACATCCTCCCAGCTCAAGGTAACAAATTCTCCTTTCCCATCTTACTAGAAGCATCCATGACTGATGCCCAAAAGAAGATGAATTTAATTCAAATTGCCATCATTTCAGCCATAGCCAGCTGTCAGACCCGGAGAAGTGTTCAGTTCCAATTGCCACACATTTCCCTCCGCCCCTTGTATTTCCACACTACTAGTGCAAAGGGAGGGGCAGAGCCTGGACCCACACAGCAGGGCCCTCTGAGATACGTCCAGCCCCCACTGGCTCCCTAGGCCCCCTAGAGCAGATATTTTTCCTGTTATCATGGGCACCTGTTTTCCCTTAAATAAAATATTTTCCTTAAATAGAGAAGAAAATACAGATACAAAATACTTGTCTATTTTAATTAAATGAGCCAAGGGATGGGGATTTAGCTCAGTGGCGTATGTGCCTGCCTGGCAAGTGCGAGGTTGTAAGTTCGATCCCTGGTATCAAAAAAAAAAAAAAATCATTAATTAAATGAGCCAGAAAATGATGCCAATGCCATTAGTTCAACTGATTTTTATTATGATGAGTATCCATGATATTTTCAAAGCTGATAATAACAGAAGTGGGAAATAATGTTGGGCTCTTAAATCAAGGAAAGTATTTTAACAAATCATGACCACCTCTGTGTCTCAATTTTGCTTAACTAACTGTACGTATTCTTTTTGTCCCAGAAATTCATGAGAGTAATTTAAGAGATATCTGGTAAGCATGTGAAAAAAATGATAGGAAAATGCTTTAGATATACAAAATGATATTAAAATAACTCTCTGTGGGTTTTTTTCCCTTTTTTTTTTTTTTTTCTTTTTTTGAATTATAGAAATTCTACAACCAAGTATCTACTCCCCTGCTCCGGAATGTTCAGTTCAGCTATACACACCCCTCAGTAACAGATGTCACTCAAAACAGTTTCCCCAACTACTTTGGAGGCTCGGAGATTATGGTGGCAGGAAAATTTGACCCGAATAAACTACAGCAAATACAGAGCATTATTACTGCAACTTCGGTACTTCTGTTTATCGCTTTATTCTAAAAGTACAGTGGTGCCTCGATTCACAAACTTAATTTGCTCCATGACTCTGCAAAAGATGGCCACAGTTGTGTTCATCATCCAATGCAGAGTTCACAAACAAAAACAAAATGTGGCCAAATGCTGCTCTTTACAGACCAAATTATTTGCAAACAAAAGCGTTCATGAACCGAGATACCACTAAATGGTCCCCTGAAATATGGTGGATCCTGAGAGTTCACAAACTAATGGTCCACAATCCCAGAATCCTGTGTGTCGAACAGGAGCAGTGGGTGAAAGAGAAGGGCTGTCTTCCCAACTATTGTGCAAAGCCTCTTTTGTCCTCAGCCCAAGCCCAGCCTCTGGAGGATGCACATTTTTGTCCCCCTTCTTTCATTATTTTTCAGTGTAATATGTTTTTATTTAATTGGTGTATGTTAGTAATATATACTAATTATATTTGGGAAGTAGGCATATATATGTATATATGTGTGACTGTATGTATATATATATATATATATATATATATGTGAATACATGTAGTATTTTTATTGTTTTCAGTACCTTTTCCTCCCTTTCTTTACCCTCCCTTTTCTCCCCTTCCCTATTTCCAAGAAGACTCTCCTTTTTTAAAAAATTCAGTAAAACAGGCCACTATCAGGCAATAAAACTGAAGCAGTAATAAAAACTTCCATTTTTTTATATTCTCCAAAAGTATGTGGTACCCTAATTCACTTACAATAGATACTAAAATTCAAATTGATTGAACAGTTCTGCTCCATCAGCATCCTTCAATTGAACTTTTCATGTCTAGGCTAACACAGATTTGGTCTTGGAAACCCTGGCCCAGATGGATGACTTGGAGGATTTTCTATCAAAAGACAAGCACGCGGATCCCAACTTCACCAGGAAACTGTGGGCCTATCTAACAATCAACCAACTGCTGGCAGAGCGGTAAGGACAGAGGAGTACCACAAAGATACACAAATGTAAAATGTTCACCTAGAATATTTGAGGTCTTGCACAGAAAGAGTTCAATTGTTTTTTTGTTTCTTGAGACAAGGTCTTGCTATGTGGTTCAGGTTAGCCTTCATGTAGGCTAGGCTGACCTAGAATTCGCAGCAATTCTCCTGCTTCAGCTTCCTAAATGCTGAGACTACTCGGTGTGAGCCGCCATACCTGGCACACAAAGTGTTTGAAACCAATAAAGGAAGCAAATGAGCTAGGCACAGTGGCATACACCTACAATCTCACTATTTTGGGAGGCTGAGGCAGAAGGATAACAAATTCAAGTCCAGTCTGGGCAACTGATGAGACCATGTCTCATAATAAAAAGTAACTGAGGGCTGGGTATGTAGCTCAGCACAAAGGCGCTATGTTCAATCACCAGTATTGAAGAAAAAGAGGAAAAGAACAAAGGAATAAAGACAGAGAGAGAGAGAGAGAAAAAAGAGCATGAGAGAAAAAGAAGAGAATTAATATAATATTCCAATTATTTACTTCTACTGGATCCAGATGTAGCTGCAGTGTGAACCCCTGTTCCTCTTCCCCAGTCTGCACTGGAACTCATTATTCTGGCATTTGTCATCATTTATTAGTTTTGTCTGTTGCTAAATTTCACATAACCATGCAATCTGCTTCTGGCTTTCTTCACTCATTTTGATGTCTGTGAGATTAACCCATGTTGCTGTGTGGATCAGTAATTCATTTGCATTTACTCTCGAAAACAGATTATTGTCCAAAGAGAAATGTATGATCATGCAATTATGATGTCTTTTATGGAAGGGATCCCTAATACTCTTTTTATCACCTCGGGGTTTTGAGTTGAGCTGCTTCTCCATTCCCCAGCATAGACACTGGATCACTAGAGTAACCCACATCACAATTACATGGGGTGTTTGATAAAAATGAACATTTCCAAGGCTCACGCCATCTGTTGGATCAGACTTTGGAAAGATGGAACAAGGTTATCAAAGTAGGTTGAAAAATAAAACATCTCTGTATAACTGGACTGTAATTCGAAGTAAGCAAAAAATATTCCGGTCCTTTGGACAGAAGCATACTAGTATACTTAAAGGCATGGCAAATTGCTGCAGAAGTTACATACCATGCATTTGTCCAAACAGTAGAATGAAAGATGCCTAGAGTAAACCCTAAAGTAAACCACTGACTTAGCCCATCATGTGTAAAACATGTACCACCCTGGCGCAGGATATCAGCTGTTAGGGAGGATACTGAGAGTGTGGAGAGTACATTGGAAAACCTTTAGTACCTTCTGCTCAACTTCTGTTAACCTAAAACTGCTAGAAAAATAATTACTCTTTAAAAAAAAAAAAAAGTCCCTTGGGACTGCACAGCTAGATAAAGAACCAGTTGGCTCTGGGCACCCACTTCCACTGTCTGCCTGGACATCAGAAGTGCAGATGAGTGGGGATGTGACCTGAGCGCCCCCTCAAGCGCAGTTCTATAAAACGCCTCTGCTTCTCCACTACAGAAGCTTGGCCCCTACTGCTGCCGACAAGAGGAAAATTACGAAAACAATCCTGCAGATGTCCCTAGAACATCACGTTGTAACGCCGCTTACCTCGATGCTTATTGAGAACACAGTTGGGGACGAGCGCATGCTGGCCGACGCCCCTCCGCAGGACGTCTCGTGCTGTTCAGGTCAGCGTGCTGGTCCACGAGCAGCAGACGCAGCTCTCTCGCCCTGGCCCTCTGCCCTCTAGCCCCAGTCCACCCCTGGCTCCCAGCCTGTGTCCCCGTGCCCCAGGCTCCTCCCTTCAGCATGTTTATTGTGTAGACCTCAAACATTTTTGCTCACACAGCTCCCAAAGGAGTTTTAAAAACCTACGAACTCCCGCACCCACTTTTAAAATAAGCGTTTAGATTTTTTTCATCATGTTTAACAATTGCCACTGACATATTTCAGGCATGTGATGAATACTGATTTTGTAATAAAATCAGGTCAGTGTTTTAAGTGTAACTAAGGAATTGGAATACGTGATACTATCATTCATCTTTTTAAAAAATGCATGAGCAAAGCTGGATGTGATGGTGCCCATCTGTGACTCAGCACTCTGGGAGACTGAGGCAGAAAGATGGCAAATTTGAGCACAACTGGGATAACTTGGCAATTTAATAAGAATCCATGTCCAAGAAAATTTTTTTTAAATTAAAAAGGGCCTGTGGGTGTGCGTAGCTTAGCTCAATGTGAAGGCCCTGAGTTCACTCTCCAATACTGTAAATAATAATAATAATAATAATAATAATAATAATTCTATTTTATTATTGAAAGTTATAATGTTCTCTCTTCTAGTTGAATACAGTGTGATGTCAGAAGATGCTGTAGGAGAGGGGAGTGTGGAATAAAAGCAGGCGGAAGGCCTGGGGTTTAGCTCAGGGTAGAGGACTCACCTAGCACGTGTAAAATCCTGGTTTCACCTTCCGGAACTGCAAAAAAAAAAAAAAAAAAGAGTGTGTGAAAATCTTACCAAGAACCTGCAGGGGTGCACAAGACAGGTTCTTGATGCCCTGAGCAACTCCTATGGGAAAGGGAACCTAGGAACTGACGGGCAGGTTTTTCTACACAGGTGCCCTCTACTATGGGAGCAAAGTTGCCCCCGGTTCCATCCCATCCTGGGCCAGCCCCTCCCTGACGCCACCTACTGCAATGTCTCTGGTAGCTGGACCACCCATGGAGGCCACGCCGCCTTCCCACGTGATAAGAGGTAAGAGCGCTGCGGGCTGCTTCTGCCTCTCAGCTGGCAGAAGGTAGAGCAAGGTGACCTGTCCAGAGGTAGACAGCTTCCCCTGAGAGAAGAGCTCCACGCCTAGCCCGAGGTTCTGGAGGTACAGGGTCAAGCTCAAGGTGCCAGCAAGGTGCATTTCAGCCCGAGGCCTCTCTCTGGGTGGTCCCTGATCTCTTCTCTGCATGCACTAAGGGAAGGAGAGAAAGAGCTCTCTGGTAGTCCCAGCATGAGGGCCTCATGCTCATGATCCCATCTAACTCTACCGCCCTCCCCAAAGCTCCAACCTCATTTCCAAACACTAGGGCACCGAGGCTTAGGCCTTGCCTAGGAATATGATGGGGGCCAGTTAGTGCACTGCATCCCATTTCCAACTGCATAAGAACTTTCTTGATTCACATCATCTGTGCAAACTTGAGCAAGTTACATAATCTGTGTGCACTTTGCTTCCTTCCAATTAAAAATAAGCCATGATACTTCTGCATATATTTTTTTGGTAGCTAGGCTATTGATTAAATATGAAATCTGTCTAAAGCAGTAACGAGCACATAACTGCCAATAAATAGATGCTATTACTAGAGATTAGGATCTATAAATTTAGTGATCTAAAATACATTAGTATTCTTTCCTCCATAATACATGTTTTCTATAGTATTTATTTTAAATAGAGCATAAAAATTTTACTCTTTAAGTTTTGCTCAGGCTTTTTTGTTGTTGTTTATTTGTTTAGTTTGGTTTGGATTTTTCTTTTTTCTTTTTTTTTTTTTTTTAAGACAGGGTTTTGCTTGAAGTTCAGGATGATCTTGAACTCACTATGTATCCCAGACTGGCCTTTAACTCACAGTGATCCTTCTGCCTCAGTACCTCAAGTGCTGGGATTACATATGTGTATCACCACATCTGGCTTTGCTCAGTCTTTAATTGAAAAAACAAAATAAAACCTTTCTATGGATTATCATGGTAGAAGACATAGGTAGTAGGTGTGATTATCCAAAGGCCAGAACAATGTATTTCCTTGAGGGTTTTGGCCGCTGGATGCAGTGACTGGCCTCTCTAGCCCCTGCCCTCTCAAAGTGTGACTCAGGGGAACCAGCTGAGGAAGCTGAGGAAAATACAAAATCGGCCCAGTGTGCCAATTGCTGAAATGATGTTTCACAAACAGGGAGTTTATTCATAAGGGGGACAAACATGAACAGTTGGAGTCCGCTTCTCTGAGAATAGAGTTTAAGGATATTTATGGGACAAAGAAGCAGAGTGATTAAAAACACACAAAAAGGTGACTGGAATGGAAGGAATCAGTGGTATGCATGCATAATCAGTCTTCACAGCTCTTTGTGGAATGCATGTTCAGAAAATGGTAGCACTTGTATAATCTGAGGGTGAGATGTTGATCCTTTGAAATCAAAATGTCACTCACTGGGCACCTGGTCAGGCCCAAGGGAGGAGTTGAGTTTCTTCAGCCCCTGAAAAGTAACCTAAACTCTACCTTTAGGACTAACACATCACATCAGAGGCATCATCTACCCCAAAACCAGTGTGTGACCGCCAGCATTAGTGGTCTTCCAAGACAGCTAAAGCAGCAAGCGAAGCTGGAGGGCTGATTCAGGTTCTCCTCCACTTCCCTAATTCCCTGCACCAGTTCTGTCACCTGGAGTTCATAGTTGCCTGACAACCAGCCAGCCTTAGGAGAAATCTTGTGTTCTTCCCCTCTCTTTGTGAGAAAGGAAGATTGAACATTCAAAGAGAGAGCCTGTGCCTCCCTAGAGGAAGGTCCCACATGCTTTATTTGGTTCTGGGGGACGTAAATGGAACTGGAGTCCTAGACAGTTGTGCTCTCGGTACTCCCTGGAATGTACTCTTCTATCAAAACACCCTCAGCAGCGATTCTCAGGGACGTAATTACCGCTGCCCCAAGCACTGTGTTTGACAGAGCACGCTTGGCAGGACTTTGGGTGAATATGCTGAGTGATCTCATTTCACTCTTTAAAACTTATATTTAAAACTGTTATTTGTGCTCCCCAAGGGAGTGGCTGCTTAGAGTGCTTGCTATAGCCCCCGCCCTTGTCTCTTACCCTTGACTGGGTCTGGAGCTTCAGAAGGAGCTCTGCATTGACCTGGGCTTTAAAAACAGCAACCTTCAAAAGCTGTTCACAGGAGTAGTCTGTGTGGAAAATCACTGTACTGGTGCCACAGCAGCCGCTGCAGTGAGTGGCTTCTGAGAACAGGAGACTTCTGTGATGACCAGACCAGTGGGGAGCCACTTAAACTGTTGTTTTGTAAAATAAAGCTTTTGTGGAAAACATTGGGATAATCTTTTTTAAAATATTCTTCCCAGGAAGAATGCAAAACTTCTCCCAAGTTTCTACACTGAGTCAAACAGTATTAAGTCCAATTCTGCCATATGACTTTGGATCACACTCTGAAGCCTGTTTGGGTCTTATACACTATAAAATGCGATGATGCTTGCAGAGTGGCTATGAAGTCCAGTAAACACTGCCTAATGTTATACTCCATACCTTAAGTCCATAAGAATCTTGAAAGTCTTCATGGAGGCCATCAATGTACTATTCACAAGCTAATTAAATTTTAAAGCTGCACTATCTTTTAAATGATTTTGTTTTCAATTTTCTTGTATATTTTCTAGTTGAAAATGACCCACATTTCATCATTTACCTACCAAAAAGTCAGAAGAATATTTGTTTCAATATTGACTCAGAACCTGGAAAAATCCTCAATCTGGTTTCTGATCCAGAATCAGGTAAAAAAGGAAAATTATATTTGAACTAGACAATTAGATAATTGCATAACTCCCTGTGACTCCATGGATTTATTTCTTTTTCATCTTAATGAGAATTCTGTATTTTTCAAGCTCTGATAATTTGCAAGAAATGAAATCATAAATATATTGTCTTGAATAATTATAGTTCAAAGTATGTATCCTAAGTTTGAACTAGCTGATCTTATTTTAATGTAATCACTTTGCAATAAAATGTTATAAGCTGAGATTTATAAGGAAAAATTTTATGTAAATTCTGAAGCAGGATAATTTTCTCAAAATACCAAGTTTTATAAATCCAAATTTTGGTACCATGCATGCAGAAAAAGAAAAAATGGCTAAAGTACAAAAGAGAAACATTTTTTCCTTCTATAGGAATTTCAATCAATGGTCAGCTTATTGGTGCCAAGAAGCCTCAAGATGGAAAACTAAGCACCTATTTTGGAAAACTGGGATTTTATTTCCAAAGTGAAGACATGAAAATAGAAGTCAGCACTGAGAACATTACTCTAAGCCATGGTTCACATATTTCTACTCTGTCCTGGTCTGATACGGCTCGCACTGTGAACTCCAGGCAAGTACTGTGTCGTTTGAGTTGGGCCCTGTCCTTCACACAGGCCTGCACAAATAAATCCAGTCTCCAGCCACATTAACACAGAACTCAAAGTAACCGTTTTAAATATAAGGAAGTCTGATGTGGTGGTGGATATCTGCAATCCCAGCACTCTGGAGGCTCAGGCTGGAGGATGGCCAAATTTGAGCCCAGCCTAAGAAATTGAGTGACTTAGTGAGACTCTGTCTCAAAATAAAAGAAAGCTGGGCATGTAACTCAGTGATAAGGCCCTGGGTTCAATCCCCAGAATCATCAACAAGAAAAAAGGAGAAAGAAAGAAAGAAAAGAAAGAAAGAAAGAAAGAAAGAAAGAAAGAAAGAAAGAAAGTTAATTGATGTTCTAGAAAATTGTTCTTACTTGGTACACTACTGTGGCACACCGACCATGTGTGGGGTCACCAGTGTGCCTACCTCATGCATGACATGCAGTAAGTGAGCACTGCTGAAATCCGTAGCAGGCTGTGTGTCAGAGAGAATGTTTATATACTTACTTTTGTGTCTTTTTTTTTTAAATTGGTACCAGGGATCTAATTCATGACTGCCTGCTTGCAAGGCAGGCATTTATGCCGCTGAGCTAAATCCCCAGGCCCTTACTTTTGTATCTTAAGCAGAGTAAGCTCCCAAATAGTATCTGTTAACTGTTGATCTACAAACATGTCAGTTGACAGAATTTTAGAGCCAGGAGTTAAAATAACACCCCAGAGCAAAAACACTGTCAAGCTCTTAGGAAACTAGTATAATTGTGCTAGGAGGAATGAGCCTTTCCAAGCAGGGGTGAGAAGGATGACTTGCTGAAACATCTGCTCTGAAATCCTTCAGTTCCTGGTTGTCTTTCATACTAGGGTGCTTGTCTCCATAAAAAAGGAAAAAGCTATGACTGTCACCCTGGATAAAGACATGTCCTTTTCCATTCTGCTGCATCGTGTTTGGAAGAAGCATCCAGTCAACGTGGACTTTCTGGGGATCTACATTCCTCCCACAAATAAGTTCTCACCTAAGACACATGGACTACTAGGTAAAGTGTCTGTCTGCCATCTGGCACATGCAGAGCCACTCTAGCTCTTCAATGACTTGGGTGGTTGTTTCAATGGGTGGAAGTTGGGTAGGTGGCAGTTGTGACTGTGGAGCAGTGTGGTGACTCTGGAATGCAAAGGTGTCCAGGTTTGGCATCTCAGCATTCAAAGAAGGGACAGAACCATTTTAAGTTTAATGCTAAAGATTTTCTTTAACTGCAGTGAGATGTTCGTAGAATTTTAAGAAGAATTGAAATGTAAGTATATGACACCACAAACAAACCTATTCCTATGATTTGAGCTGTGCTTACCAGTGTGGATCTCACTCCGATGCCATCAGATGGGCAGCCACTGTACTGATGGTCCAGTGGACAGACTGTGAGAGATTAGCTCCCAGGAAGAACTCCTTCCCACTGATTCTCTTTTTACCTTTCCATGTATCTTTTTAAGCTGGAAATTCTGGAGAGAGAGTCAACATGTCACCACTGATGGCCCTCTCTTTTATTTTAGCTTGAGTCACACGTATATGTTTGGGTTTTGCTTCACTAGGACAGTTCATGCATGAACCAAAGATACTCATCTCCAATGAGAGACCAGGAAAAGATCCCAAGAAGCCAGAGGCAATCCTGGAAGTGAAAGGACAGAAGCTGCTTGTCACCAGGTAGGCCTGAGATAAGTAAGACAGTATGACCAAAAGGGTTCCTGGAGGACTAGACTCATAAAGGGAAATAAAAGAGTTTAAAAGCAGTTGTAAGCTCTGCTTCTGTCAAACACAACAGTGCAACAATAGATACATATATAACATTTGCACAAAGACATTTCAGATAGCCCATCTTACTTGTCAATAATGTCTGTGAGTGTGCATCGTGAAATGCCAAGACTTACTGATCTATTTATTATTCTCATCTTCAGGCATTAGAAGTCCTATGGTCATAAATTAGATAATTGAAAAAATTGTTGCATTGGTTATTTTACTATCATTGGGACAAAATAGCCGACATGCACAATTTTCTTTTTCTTTTTTTTTTTGTCTTTTTGACATGCACAATTAAGGGATGAGAGGTTAAATTTGGCTCATAGTTTTGGGTTCCAGTCCATGGTTGGCAGAAAGGGGATGGGGAAATAAGGCTGCTCACCTCATGGCAGCCAGGAAGCAGAGAGAAGGGAGGAGATGGGATGGAGATCAGCCCTCCAAAAGCTGCCCCCTGCTGATGCGCATCTATCTACCAGTCCCCACCTCCTGAAGGGCCTCTATGGTTTAATCATCTTCCAAAAACCCAACTTTGGGGGCTGGGGATTTAGCTCAGCGGCATAAGCACCTGCCTTGCAAGCAGGCGGTCGTGAATTCGATCCCCGGTACCAAAAAAAAATAAAAACCAACTTTGAACATATAAGTCTTCTATGTCTAAACAAACAGCTGTCCAAAGGAGGAAATCATAAAAATACCTATGAATCATACAAGTGGTATGATTTTACGAATGTGTATTTTTATGGAAAGCTTTCTTGTTGAATGTGGATTCTGAGTGCATTTTTGTGTAGCTTTTCTTACACAGATCATATCCATATGCTTCATCCTGAAGTGAGAACGTATACACTTGTAAAACAGTTTGAGTGCAAACTTCTCATATATCTTTATAGTCTTTTCCAGTTGTCTCAGTCATGCCTAATTCAATATCATTTTAAATCAATTTTCATCTTTTAAGAATTTTTATAATGCAGTCAACATTGCTTTCTTAGATACAACTTTCTGATTACATATGTCATGTGCTTAATGAACTCATATTACAATAACCATAAAGTTACAATAAGTATCACTACCAAAAAATAGATTTGTGAACTAAAACCGCTGAATTTTTAATGCACCACCAAGCTGGTATTGGTCTATAGGATAGAGAGCAGTGGTTTACCAATGGGCATCAGGAAGCATGATGATGAAATAGTGAGCACCCGTTAGTAATCAGCTATATGAGCTTGGTGAAAGAACGTCTATTATATGACAAAATATACCTGTTGGGTCTCCATGTCATCCATTCCAAGCACCTCATGATGCATAGCTGAAACAGAGCTAACCCATGGTTCAGCAACTATGTATTTTATGGCTTATTTATGGCAATATGCCATGTGCCTTTACAAATCATTTGCTTCTTTGCCCTGCAAGTGGAAGACATGAATTTGCTCATAGTTGTCATCACCTTTAAATAGAACACTCATTCATAAAATGAGTATAAGAGGTTATCTCCAGGAGAAGAATGAGATCAGCCTGCAATACTTTGGAGTTTGATTTCTACTTTTTGTTTTTGTCTTTTTGAGACAAGGTCTCACCACGCAGTTCAGGCTGGCCTTGAGCTCACTTTGTAGCCCAGGCTGCTCTCAAACTCTCAATGATCCTCCTGTCTCAGCCTCCCAAGTGCTGGGGTTACAGGCATGCGCCACCACACCCAGCAATTGATTTCTGCCTTCTTCCCACTTGCATTAATTTGCTGTTTTGTTTTTTGTTTTTTTTTTTTTTTTTTAGCCAGTCAAATTTAGCAGTGGGGGGGTGGTATACCAACTTTAGTGACACTAATGTTAATAAGTTCTGATAACCCACTGCCATCGGACCAGCCAATTTGCTGCTTTTTACCTTGTCGGAAAGATCCATTGGATTCAACTTTTGTGCAGGTCATTTGAATTATCTAAATAGATAATTCTTATTTTCTGTCTTTCAACACTAACTTCCAGACTCTGACATTTCAACACCAATCTTAGATTCTGACACTTCATACAATTTGAGTAGGGTGGGTAGGGGCTGGGAAGAGGGCAACTCGACCAGGAGAGGCACACCTGTTCCTTGACCACACATACCATTTTCCTTGCAGAGGCTTACAGAAAGACTACAGGACAGACATTGTGTTTGGAACAGATGTTCCCTGCTGGTTTGTGCACAACAGTGGAAAAGGCTTCATCGATGGATATTATAAGGACTACTTCGTGCCTCAGCTCTACAGCTTCCTCAACTTTAAAGGTTTATAGTTTTGGAAATTCTTTGTATAAATGCATACTTTTTTCCTCTATAACTTTTGTAGTCCTTCCTCAGTATGAATAATTTTTTAAAAACCCAACCAATAGTAATTGAGAAAGTATGTTAATACATCTGAAGAAAATAAATACTTTGCAAAGAAATGTTAAGATTTTGTTGCATTTTTCAGAGGCTAAAGAGTGTTAAGGTGATTCAAGGGAGAGCAGCTTTGACAATGGAAGCTGGCATCAAGGCAGAGATCTATATGTGGCATTTACCATAATGATTTCACTATTGTTGAATTGGGGGTCCTCAACCTTGCAGATTGAGCACTTTTTTTTAGTTAGTTACATAGGAAAGTTCAGTTATGAGAAGGTTACATGGAACATGAAAATGAATGAGGGAGGTTATTGCTCCTAGTTGCTCTGTAGAGACTTACACTGTTATCCTGTCATTTTCTGTAGAGCTAACTTTGCTGAGGTACTTGAGATGGTCCAACACACGTGGCTAAGAATCCCTTCATAATGTTGGCTCTTGAGGTGTTTTTTTTTAATTCATGAGGTCTGGATTAGTCACAGTTGGCCAGGGAAATAAAATCAACAGAGTGAGCCAATAGTATCACAGAGCTGAAAAATCTGATGTTCCAGTTGAAAGGTCTCAGGTAGTAAAACCAATATTGCAGATGAAGTCTGAGGGCACTCTGCTGAGGACTCTCTTACTTGGGAGAGAGTCATCTGTTTGTTCTATTCATGTCTTCAACTTTGGGTAAGGCCTGCCATATTAAGGTGGAGAATCTGTTTTACTTAACTCTACCCATTTAAATGTTAACCTCACACAAAAATACCCTCTTAGAAATGTTTAGAGTAATGTTTGATGAACTATCTGGACATTGCCCAGTCATACTGACATAATCATCAGAAGGCTTAGTTGAACAACCACTTTCTGTTCACACATTTCCCATATAAGATGTAATACAATTGGGCAGGCATCTGCTTATGAAATGACAATCACCTAAATTCTTGTCTCTGAGATTATTTGATGATCTCCCTGGAGTTTCTGTTGCTCCAGCTCTGTACACATTTAAAATGGCTCAGAATGCTACCTCCAATGGCTAATTGTATAGTATTGTGATTGTTAAATGACAAAGAAAATCATAGCGCTACATTCTCTAGAACCCCCTCCAGCTGTCAATCACATAACATAATGTTCCTTAGCACTCCATGTAGAATTCAAAGGGTTTATAAGAGTAATTATTTTAGCTTCCCTCATTGTGACAATATACCATACCTGAGAATAACAAATTAAAGAAAGAAAGGCTTATGATTTGAGGGTTCAGTCCATGATCAGCAGGTCTCATTGCTTTCGGGGTGTGGTGAAACAGAAACATCATGGCAGAGCAAAGCTGTTCACCACACTGCAGCCAGGACACAAAGATGGACAGCCAGAGTGGGAGGAACTTGGGACAAAAAGTAGTCCCCAGGGTCATGTCTCCATAGCCCACTCCCTCCAGGTAGGACCCATTACTTAATTTTCTGTCATCTCCCAAAAATGCCATCAAATTGTGAATCCATAATAAATTTCAACTGGTCTACTGATCAAGTCAAAGGACTCATGGGCCAATCACCTTCCCAAACTCTCTCCGAACATATCAGCCTGCTGGGGGAGTTTTAGATTCAAGCCACAACAAACACTGTTTGCATTCTAAACCTTATATTAGACCTCACTTCAAAAAAAAAAGTAGTAAATTAGTCCTAATGAAAAGCTTATGATGTTTATAAAGCAGTATAAATAAGCTACAAATTTAAAATAAAAATTGTAACTATTAAGTCTTTATTAGTATAGACAGTGACTGGTAAGGTGCAAGTTTATAATTCATTCTTTTTGAGACAGGGTCTCTATGCAGTTGAGGCTGACCTTGAACTCACTTTGTAGCCCAGGCAGGTCTTGAACTCCCAGTGATCCTCCTGCCCCAGCCTCCCAAGTGCTGGGATTACAGGCTTGAGCCACCACGCCCGGCCTATAATTCATTCTTTTGTTCAGTTTTCCTTAACAATTTCAATTCCTAAAATAAGTTCATTTTCAAAAGTCGTATTGGTGAGACTGTCCCTAAAAAAATTTAAAAGTATATTTTGATGCAACTTTTCCATAATTTGATAAAATTCATTTTTCATTTTAACACGCATGTAAAACTCTTGCACACATTCAACCCATATTTAAAAAGTGAGTTTCTTTAGATTTAAAGTATTAAAGAAAGGTGATTATTTCTATAACCTAAAGATAATTGCAGTGCTAAAGAGGTAAATGGCACAACTTTTTCCATTATATTCTATGAAAATGGCCAACTGTGACACATTTTTCAAAATTCAATGTATCTTTTATTTTCTATTTTAAAAATATTAATCTAATTTTTTTTTTTTTTTTGTCTTTTTCCTTTTTATCA